AAAAAAAAAAGAATCAATAAGTGGGATGGCATCAAATTAAAAACTTCTGAAGTGCAAAGGCTGGGGGAGAATCCCTTGAATCCAAGAAATTCAAGACCAACCCAGGCAACATAGTAAGAGCCCACCTCAAAAAAACTGAGATCTGAATAGAGGCTGAGGATGTAGCTTTGTGGTAGAGCTTGCCTATCAAGCACAAGACCCTGGGTTTTATCTCCAACACCAAAAAAAGTCTGATATATATATATACACACACACACACACACACACACACACACACACACACGTGTGTATATGCATACATGCATACATGTCAATTTCTTTGGGGGGAAGGAGTGCTAGAGATCAAACTCAGGGTCTAGTTGGCGTCAGCACATCAAGGCCCAAGTTCATGACAGAGCAAAAGCACTCACCTCAGGGCCAGGATGAAAAAGAGAGARAGAGAAGCAGGTATGGTGGCGCACACCTATTATCCTAGCCATGCAGGAGGCAGGGGCAGGAGGATCACAAGTTTGAGGCCAGCCTCCTCAACTTAGCAAGACCCTGTCTTGAAATAAAATAAAAACTGGGTTGGGGATGTAGCTCAGTAAGGGAGCATGTGCCTGGTGTATGCAAGATGTTCAATCCCCAGTTCCACAAAAAAAGGGAAAGGAAAAAAAAAGTAAGGGTGTGGGGTACCCCTATCCCTTCAAGGGCACAGCCCCAGTGACCTGAAGACTTCTCACTGGGCCCATTTCCTCAAGTTCCCAGCACGAAGCCCTTGACACATGACCATTTGGGGACATCCAGACCCACACTCCAGCCAGCCTTAAGTGTGACTCATCTACAGGCTGTAGAGACGCCCTTTATCAGGCTGAGGGAGTTCCCTGGCCCCTGGTTGGCTGTAAAGCTGACAGTGTCTTTGTACTTAGGTCTCTTAGAGGCAATAGATCATCGGGTGTTGCTTTTCTTTTCCTCCAACATTTTGGTTTGGATCTTTGGACAGTTGGCGTCTAATCTGATCACAGAGGTTAAGTGGCAGGTAAAAGAGTATAAACAACGTCCGTGGCCCGTCTCTTCTTCATTCCCTTTCCCTCTCTTTCTGCCCTCTTTTGGACTAACTATTTTTCATGATTGCATTTCGTCACCTGGCTCACTAGCTATAACTCCTTGCTCCTGGCTTGGCTGCTGTTGTGACTGCTTGAGGATATGGTATACAACTTGACCTTATCACATAATTATATTTTGGGGGGTGTTATTGGGGATTGAACCCAGGGGCACTCAACCACTGAGCCCCATCCCCAGCCCGATTTTGTACTTTATGTAGAGACAGGGCCTCACTGAGTTGCTTAGAGCCTCACTGTTGCTGAGGCTGGCTCTGAACTCGCCATCCTCCTGCCTCAGCCTCCCGAGCCACTGGAATTATGGACGTGGCACCATCACACCCAGCTTTTCACATACTCTTAAGACTCCATTTTATCTCCTTCATTCACTTACTAAATATAAATCCTTGCTTTCTTCTTTTTGTGGATGATTTGAGGTTCAAAGTGCACATCCTTATCACAGTCTGCCTTCAAGCCACCATATGCCACTTCACCTGAAGTACAAGGACCTTTCTATAGAATATCCTGGTCCTTTGGCTGTTGTTGTCATACTTTTAAAATATTTTTCAAGTTGTGGATGGACACAGTACCTTTATTTTCTTTATGTATTTATTTATTTACTTATTCATTTATTTGTATGTGGTGCTGAGGATGGAACCCAGGGCCTCCCATGTGCTAGGTGAGCCTCTACCGCTGAGCCCCAGCCCCAGCCCCGTTATCATACTTTTTACCCAAACCTGTGCTATGAGCCTCATTTTTTTAAGCAGTCAATTCTCTTTTTTTCTTGGTTTCTTTTAGTTATACACGACAATARAATTTACTTTATGAAAACACGGAATATAATCCGTTCTCCTTCGGCTCCCAGTTCTTCTCCTTCCCYTCCCTCCACTCTTCTGATCTTTCTGCTATTTACTTACATTTTTTTAAATAAGTGCCTTATGGATGTCCGTGGTGCTGGGATTCACTGTGTGTATTCATGTATGTACACAGAAATGTCAGGTCAGATTCCTTCCACTGCCTTTTCTATCCCATCCCTCCTCCCTTCCCTTCATTCCCCTTTGTCTACTCCACTAATCTTCTATTCTTTTTTTTATTATTATTATTCCTGCTCCCTTATTTTGGATTTGCTTCTGCATATCAGAGAAAACATTTGACCTTTGACTTTTGGGGACTGACTTAGCACTACTTAGTACTATTTCACTTAGCATGAGAGTCTCCAGTTCCATACATTTATCAGCAAATGCCATAAAGTTGTTGTTCTTTATGACTCAGTAATACTCCATTGTGTGTGCATGTGTGTGTGTGTGTGTCCTGGTCTCTGCTGATGATCTGTTTCTTTCTCCTCCACTTCTCCTCTTCTGGGGCAGCCACAGACACAGAGATGATGAGAGGGACAGAGAGAGGATGGGAAAGACGTAGGAGGTGAGAGTCAGAGCAGGGGTGGTAGAGGTGGGGGGAGGCAGTGATACTGTGACCTGGGGACATCAGGACACAGCCATYTGAGAGGCCTGTCTCTTTCTGTGCCTCTCTGACTTAGCTGGACACTCCTCTCCCCCRCCCCATCTTTCTCCTCCCTCCTTCTCTCCCTCTTGCTCTGTATCTGTCCTTTCCTGGTCTCTGAGCTCCGGGAGCACAGAGTTGGGTCCAGGGTGATTGATGGTCTCCATTGTGTGAATCTGCACCCTTCCTGTCCCAGACAGGGGTCAGATCCTAATTAATGAATGAAGAGGACCCCGTCTGCCCTTGTCTCTCTTCCAAAATAGGGAGTCGACACATTTCCTGCAAAACCAAACTAACCGCTTGCCACCACCAAAGAACCTGGTCTAGGGAGTGGGGACAGCTGAGTCATCCCGGGCACGAGGCTCAGCTGAAGGCGGTGCTCASTGTGAATCTCAAAGTCCAAGCGGCCATGCCCCGTCCCCCCTGACCCAGGAGGAGGGAGCTGCACAGTGCGCCCTGTTTGCTCCTGACCTGGGAGAGGTGCCACCATGGACCTTCCTGACCTCAGGACCTTGCTCCTGCTGGGCTGGCTCTTGTGGCACTGAGCTTGGGTCCTCTTTCCGGCCCCAGGAAACCGTGAAGGGCTTTCCACAGAGAAATTCACTGAGTCCTCACCTTTCACGGAAGGTGCTGCTGTCGTCCCCCGTGTCGGGGAAGGAGGGAGTGAAGCACAGAGCTTGAGACCTGCCCGAGCCTCACTGGGGCAGCTATAGACAGGTGTCAGACCCAGGCTGTCTAACCCGAGTGCCTGCTATTATACCCACTTTGCTCTGCTGCCCCTCTCAGAGACATGGGCACACTCTTAGAACGAAGCACTGATTTTTAGAGTCAGGCTTGAGTTCCCCCCACAGCTGGGCTGTTCCTCGGTTGTGCTGACACTTGGGCAAATGCCTGCTCAGCTTAGCCTCAAGATTCCTCATCTGGATGCTGTGGGTACCTACGCTGAAGGWACAGRGCACTTTGCTCATGCTCAGTGGATGCAGAGTTGCCACAGGGAAAGACACAGAGACTCAGAGACTCAGAGTCAGAGGCTGGGGGTGGCAGAAGGACAAACCAGGAAAGATGAGAGTGAGACAGGGAGGGACATGGCAAGGTGGTCACTCGTTTATTCATTTGACCAGCATTTGTTGAGCACCTATTATGTGCCAGGCTCTCTTCTAGGCACTGGGGACAGAGCGATGAACCAAACAGGCCCTCAAGAGAGAGCATTCAGCAGGAAAGACAGAAGCCAGGGAAACAGAGATGGACACAGCGATTCCCAGTGTCAAGGTGACGTTCTGGTGTGGCCTCCAGGTGCTCTTCTGCCAGCATCCGTCTTGATCTGTGCATGTGCACTAAATGCCAAGGGCGAGGCGTTTCCATTGCCAGCCTTGTGTGAAGGACGGGAGGAGAGACACTTGGAGACAGGGGGCCACCCTGGGAGACAGAAATGATGCTGAGGGGCAGCAGTTGGACGAGAGGGGGGCAGAGACATGGGAAAGGGGCTGGAGATGGCGAAGAAGCCGGAGATCTGGAAGGGGCTGGAGACAGGCCGAGGAGGGACTTGGGAGCCACAGACGCTGAGAGGCAGGGAAAGCAGTGGGAAGGATCCCGGCAGAAGTGCCTGCCCCCCCCCCCACCTGTGCCTGGGACTTGCAGGCGCTTGCACAGCTCCTTCCCCTTCCTGCTGGGCCTGCCCTGGGCCTGCACTCAGGCCTGCCCAGCCYATGGCCCTCCCAGTGGCTCTCCTCTCTTTCTTCCTCCTTCTCCTGCTGGTGGGCCTGGCCCTCTGGAGCAGGGCTGGGGACATGGGCGCTGGCCTGCCCCCGGGCCCACCCCCCCTCCCAGGGCTGGGCAACCTCCTGCAGCTGCGGGGGGCACCCCTCCTCCAGGCTCTGCTCAGGGTAAGCCCAGAAGGGGCTCAGAGCCCAGGCTCCCTCTGCGKCTCCCGCCCCCTCCCAGGACAGGTAACTGTGGGGACAGGGGACAGGGGCACGAGATGGCAGCAAGGAGGAAAAGGGTTTTCTAATCAGAAACACCCAGGGCGTAAGAAGAGACATAGAGACAAGCAAAGAGAAGAGACAGAGAACGAGGAGGAGAGGAGACGCAGGATCATCGAGAGACGGGAGCCGGAGCCAGGAGAGGAACAGAGAGGGTGGGCCGAGGTGCACAGGAAGAGCCAGCCGGGCTGTCACAGAGAGGCCGAGACACTCAGACCAAGAGACCAAAGGAGGGCTGGGGGACCTCAGAGAGACCATCGTGAGATGGGAGAAACCAAGAGAGGTGGCCACCAGCGAAGGGGCCCTGGAAGAAGCTGGGCTGTGATAGAGCAGAGCACGCGGGGCTCCGTGGAGACATGCAAGACAGGCCACTGAGAATCAGAGACAGAGACCGAGGTGCCCAGCGCTGCCCAGGAACCAAAAGAAACAGTGAGATAGAGACACACACTCGSGGGACAGCGACAGTGACCCAGGCCGTACAGACGACCCCCTGCCCAGAACCTGCAGACACACTCTGGACAGGCCCTGGGCAGCTCCGGGCTCAAGGTCACTTTCCTGTCGCTGCAGCTGAAGGACCACTATGGGCCGGTGTTCACGGTGCGCCTGGGCCCGACCCCGGTGGTGGTGCTGTGCGGAGCCCAGGCGGTGCGTGAGACTCTAGTGGACCAAGCCGACGCCTTCGGAGGGCGCRAAGACTTGGCCATCTTCGAGAAGACCCACCGGGGCTATGGTGAGGCTGGAGGGGAGCGTGAGTGGCGGGCACATCCATGCGCCTTGTGTAAGTGCCCACGTGCTGGGAGCCAGAAGCTGTGGCCCCTTCCTGCCGTGTGACAGCCAGCAGGTTACCTAACCTCTCTGTGCCTCCCCTCCCTCTTTGTGAGAATATTCTACTTGCTCCCTGCAGGCATCGCTTTCAGTCAGGGCGAGCGGTGGAGGACCCTGCGGAGGTTCGCCCTGACCACTCTTCGCGACCTGGGCCTGGGGAGGCGGAGCCTGGAAGAGCGGATCCTGGGGGAGGTGGGCTGCCTGGAGCGGGAGCTGGAGCGCACGTGCGGGGAGAGCCTGGGCCGGGAGGGTGCGTGGTGCACACACGCGTGCGTCCGAGGGCTCCTGCGGGTGTAGGAGCGCGGGTGGGAATCCAGTTCGTACTGAGAGTCCGCCCCCCCCCACCTGTGGCCTTGGCCAGCCCCTACCCCTTCCTTCCTGGTGGCCCCTGTCCTTAAAGAGAGCACATCCATTCTTTTTCCTTGGTCAATAGGAGAGTAAGTTTTCTGTTAAATTTATGTTAAATTTAAAACCTCCGGGAGCTTCAGGGCAGAGCTACTGCTGGGGCCATAGGTTCCCCTCTGCGAATTAGAAAGGGTGCCCTTTCTCAGGACGCCTGAGCTGTCATCATAGATATATTGAAGTGTCACCCCCTTTCTCCACTGAGAAGTCCTAACTGGGCTGCTCCAGACACCCCCACCACGGCTGACTTAGGACTGTCAGCAGAAGAGTCTCTGCAAAAGAGTTCAGTGTAGATAAACGCCCTGTTTTCCTGTCGCCCTGTTTACTTGGCCAGGCCCTGTTTACTTGGTCACTGGCCAGAAGATACCAGCCCTCCAGGTGCTGGACACCCTGTCACTAGTTTTTCACAAACATGTATCCAGTAGAGTACTTTGTAGAAATGTGCAAACAAGGCCTCTGGCCTGGGGCTGGGCTTCACAGAGATGTCTACATTCCTAAGAGGAGAGAAGTTACCACTGGGCTCCATGGTAACGGCTGGCAGGGGGAAGATAGAGAGGGGAGGAGAAGCCCCCGCCTTCTCAGGTGCTGTCCTTGAAGGGTTAACTTGCCCAGAACAGTGAGAGAAAAAGCTGCTTTATGTGAACTTCTGCAGACCGGGAACTTCGGAGCCCCTCCCCTGACATGCTGGGTATAAAACTCCTGAACTCGGGGTTCAGGGGGTTGATTGATGACAGCAGAAGCTGTGCCCTCTGAACCTGGCTGCAGCCAAATAAAACTGTGTCCTGCTGTCTCCGGTGCCCTGCCTCGTCTGTCCCCACAACAGTATGAATCCAGGTATCTGCAGTGTCACTGGAGCCCCTCAGATGCCGCACCTTGGAGCAGTGCACAACCTGCATCATCTCCCAGATGCCCATCCGCAGGACCTTAACAGAACCAAACCCTTGACCTAGAATGTGTGTCCCCCTCCTTAGCCTGTCCAGCTGCAAATCCTGCACAGTCAGGTCTCGGCTCAGACGCACTGCTCCAGGAAGTCTCGGCTGACCAACCCTGTCCCCCTCCATGCCGGGCTGTCGGGGCCACCTCTGGGCTCCCAGGAGCGCTGTGCTTCCCCCCTCACAGAGCAGACATTCCTGGGCCATGATGGGGGCCACAGGAGAGGCTCTTGACCAGGCTGGGAGGGCTACAGGGTGGTGGCAAGAGGCRAGGTGAGAGTGACAGGCGGGGCCAGACGTGGGAGGCCCTTCTGTCCTTGTTAAGGGCTTGACGGCTGCCTGGAGGGTGCACGGGAGCCATGGAATGTTTAGAGCAGGGGAGTGACATGGTCTGATGAGTGCCCAGCAGGCATCCCCGGGCTCTCACGTGTTGGCCTCCCCGCCACAGGAACGCCCTTTGACCCCCACCTTCACCATTCGCCGCTCCACKGCCAACATCATCTGCTCTGTGGTCTTTGACCGCCGTTTCCACTACCAGGACGAGAACTTCAAGACCTTCCTGGGGCTGCTGGCCGAAAACCTCAAGCAGATGGACACGTGCTGGGTGCAGGTGCCTACGTCCCCTCTCCAGTCCCCCCACCACCCCAGGGCCACAGGCCTCCCAGAGAGGAGGTCAGGATGGGAAGGGAGGCAGAGGCTGAGGAGACGGGGCCAGGATGGGGAGGCTCTGTGGCACCTCAGAGGCACTGCCCGGCAGGGTCCAGAGGTCAGGGGAGGCTCTCTAGAGGAYAGAGAGGACATTCCATCCAAGGGAAGACCTAAGCAGTGAACAGGAGCAAGCTGATGTGGGGGTGGGGGCAGAGAGGAAGTGTGTGGAATAGCATTTAAGGCAGAGGGAACAGCAGGTGCTAAGACATTTCCTCTCCATGGCCTCCTTCTCCCTCTAGGCATATGGTCTTTTCCACCCGCTCTCCTGAGGCACCTTCCTGGACCACACAACCGGCTCTTTGAGGTCTTTGAGAAGCAGAAGGAGTTTGTGGCCCGGKTGGTGAAGGAGCACCAGGCCTCTCTCGACACAGCTCAGCCTCGGGACTTCATTGATGCTTTCCTCATCCGCATGCAGCAGGTGAGCTTGCAGTGAGACACGCTCCTTTCTGGGTCTCGGGGGCCTGAGGTTCTTGGAGCACCCTCGAATGAGACGAATCCCCCCTGTGGCCTTTCAGGTTCCTGTGTAACCAGTTGCAATTTTCTCCAAATCTCGAGTTTTCTATTCAGAAAATCTGGGGGCCGGTAGTGGAGCTCTGGTCTAGATTTGCAGCTGTAACCAGGCTCCATCTCGTGTGTTGTCTTTGTTCAGTTGATAACAGGGATCTGAGGAGGTTTCTGAGGGTTTTTGTGAAATAAACGCCTGCAGCMRGGTGTAGTGGCACACGCCTGTAATCCTAGTGGCTCRGGAGGCTRAGGCAGGAGGATCGCAAGTTCAAAGCCAGCCTCAGCCACTTAGTGAGGCCCTGTCTGTAAATAAAATATAAAAAGGGCTGGGGATAGGGCTCAGTGAGAGAGCGCTTGCCTGGCACGTGCGAGGCCCTGGGTTGAATCCTCAGCACCACAAGTAAATAAATAAAATAAAGGTATTGTGTCTATCTACAACTAAAAAAGAGAGAGAGAGAGAGAGAGAGAGAGAGAGAACTGGAATTGATTAGTAATGCCTGCTGTGGGCAAAGAATTTGGCAGTGAATGTACACATGCCACATATTTGCCTCCCCTGGGCTGGATGGTTCCTTTGGATCCTTCTCTAGCTCAGATACTCTGTGCTTTTGTGTGCGGGAGCAGGGAGACCCTCACTCAGAATTCAACCAAGAGAATCTGCTCAATTCTGCTCTGGACATCTTCTTTGCTGGGTTGGAGACAACCAGTACCACGCTCAGATATGGGCTCCTGATCCTCCTGAAGTTCCCACAGGTTACAGGTACGGAGCCCAGGTTACGGGACCAGCCCTCTCCCTCCCCAGCCTGATGTCAAATTGGTACAAGGGCCAGTTTGTATTGCTGGGGGGTTGGATTAGGAATTGGAGAACAACCTATTTTTTTGGGGGGGGCACCGTGGGCTGAACCCAGGGGTGCCTAACCACTGAGCCACATCCCCAGCCCTTTTTATATTTTTATTTAGAGACAGTTGCTCGCTAAGTTGCTTAAGACCTCACTAAGTTGTTGAGGCTGGCTTGAACTTGCGATCCTCCTGCCTCAGCCTCCCGAGTCTCTGGGATTACAGGCATGAGCCACGGTGCCTGGTGGGAACATCCATTTTAGAAGCTGGAGGGAAATTACAGTGAACACATCCTGGGTTTGAAGTCTGGGAAGGGGAGGTAGGGAGGTGAGCAGGTGCTGGGGCCATCGCCCTTCCCACAGTCAAGACTGTCTGTTTCCCACCCCTTTTTCGGAGGGAGCAGAACTCATACAGCAAGAGATTGACCGAGTAGTGGGCCCAGAGAGACGGCCCTGCCTCGGGGACAGGCCCCGGATGCCCTACACAGAGGCGGCCCTCCATGAGATCCAGAGGTTTGCGGACCTCATGCCTCTGGGAGTGCCCCGTGCCGTCACCCGAGACACCGAGTTCCGTGGTTACCACATCCCCAAGGTACAGAGTGTGGGTCCCTCTGGTCCATCTGGAGTGTCAGGTCTCCTACAGGAGCTGCAAGGCTGGGCCTCCCAGTACTAGGTTCTCGGATTCTCCCAGAACCTGACCCTCACTCCATGTCCCTCAACCCAAGGAGGACTGAGATTGCAGAGTACCAGAGTACATCAGTCAGAACTAGGGCCCTGGAGACGTCCAGAATCCCAGCACTGCCACGTATGAATTGTGTGGCCCTGAGCAAGTGACTCAACCTCTCTGAACACCCGTCTCCTTTTCTATGCAATGTGCATTAATATACTACCTACACTGATTATAGAGATCCAGTGAGTTGGGATCCATAGTAAATGCTTAAAAATTGTAGAGTTTTTTTTTTGTTGTTGTTGTTGTTTGTTTGTTTTTTATTACGACTACAACCAGATGTCTGTTCCCAACACCAAAGTCAGAGTGGTCTTATAAAACCCATTAGGGAGCCAGGCCTGTAATCCTGGTGTCTCAGGAGACTAAGGCAGGAGGATTAGGAGTTTGAGGCCACCCTCAGCACCTAAGCAAGACCTTGTCTCAAAATAAGAAATAAAAAGGGCTGGGGAATGTATCTCAGTGGTTAAGTGCCCCTGGGTTCGATCCCCAGTACCACCAAAACTCATAAGTAAAAAATAAAACCTGTTAGACCACCTCCCTCCTCTGCTCAAAAGCCCTCCATGGCTCCCATCTCACTGGAAATAAAAGCCAAATGGCCCAAGAGACCCTGCATGCTCCGGCACCTCTCTCTGGGCTGGTTACACTCTCTTTCTTGCTCAATCCAGGACCTTGGCGTCCTCAGTATCCCTGCATGTTCCAGGGCTCCTCTGCCTCAGGACCTTGGCACGGACTGTTCCCTCTGTCCTGAGTGCTCTTCCTGCAGACAGCCCCACAGCCTGCTCCCCCTGCCCTTCAGAACTTACCCAGCAGTCTCCTCCTCCTCCTCCTCCTCCTCCTCCTCCTCCTCCTCCTCCCCCCTCCTCCTCCTCCCCCTCCCCCTCCTCCTCCTCCTCCTCCTCCTCCTTGGGGAGGCCTCCTTGGCCCCTCAAGAGCCACTGGGCATGGTGCCGAGGGGAGTGTCTGCTGGTTTGGGTCCGAGTCAGGCATCTGCGTCTGTCCTAGGGAGTGGGTGCTCCTCAGCAGTTCAGTGTCCCCAGATGTCCTAGCATTGGCTGCCCGGCTCACTGGCCCAAACTGACAGCAAAAAAAGTGCCCTTTGGGAGAGGGAGCAGGAAACGGGTGACTTTTGCAAAAGCAGCGAGAACAGCGAAGGAGGATCCAAACTGTGCCCTCGCGGGGGCTGTTCCAGCTGTTCCACGGTCACAGGCACAAGCAACAGCAGGGCGGCCACGGTCCTCGGGAGGCACCTGTGTGAGACTTCAAAGGCACCTCTCCTGGGCACAAGGCCTGTCTCAAATGCCTGGCATCAACAAAAAGCCCTTCTGGGACTCCGGCACAGACTTGTTATTATTACTTAAGGGGGAGCCCTGAGCGAGGGCGATGACCATCAATACCGACGGCAATAATAATAAGCGCTTGCTGAGTCTGTATCAGGTGACAAGCGTTTCTGGCTGCAGATGGGGGCGACTTGCCATCTTCCAACCTCACGGTGGTGCAAAAACAAGGCACCCTCACTGGGAACCCTTCTTGGGATTTTGAATTTTGACCTTTCCCGGGCCGCGTGAGGCCATCTGGAGACTCGGACAGGGGCCACAGCTCCGGGTCCGCCGCACGGTGGTCACACGGTGGTCACAGAGGGCAACAGACACCGCAGCGCCCTGGGCAGCTCAGGTGGAGTAAATGTGTCTCAATGGACAGTAGGATTCGTTCCCATGGCAACCGGAGGGGCACCCTCCCTATTTCCTGGACCCCTCTGAGTTGTTTTGCCCGTTTTACAAGAGCAGGGACTAAGCTTCAGAGAGGAGTCACCTGCCAGGTCACCCTGCTGGGAAGGAACTGAGCTGGGACTTACTCCGCYGACCCCAGAGCACACCTTCTGCCCCCGCTGCTGTTCCCAGGTGGACCAGGCCCAGGAGGCTTTGGCTCAGGTGGCAGGAGCCCCCTCCAGGTGTTGACCTGGTGGACGATCTGCGCCGGCTCCTCCCACAGGGCACCACGGTGTTCCCACTGCTCCACTCCGTCCTCCATGACCCTGACCAGTTCCAAGACCCGGCCTGCTTCCAGCCTCAGAGGTTCCTAGATGCCGGCGAAGCTTTTAGGAGAAGCCCTGCCTTTCTGCCTTTCTCTGCAGGTCAGTGTCCATGCTGCGTGACTCCAGGGAGGAGGCCTGCCCTCTCTGGTCCTCTTTTGTTAACCTAAACTAGTTACTGCTTTTCTGATTGCTGGTTTGGAAGATAGAAGCTATAGCCAGGCTCAGGGAAGGGAAATACAAATCTACACCAGCTACACTGAATCCTGAGAGCACATAGTTCACTCAGAAACTATAAATTGTGTTAGGCCATAAAAAAAAACACCCAAAGCTTAGTTTTAAAAAAAAAAATCCATTTGGAAAAAAAAAAAAAAAGACTAATTCCCCAAGTTCTAAATCAAAGCACATTTAATCCAAAATACTCAATGCTTTTTCAATGATCACTTTTGTTAGAGTTACCAAAAAGTTACAAGCTGTGTAAACACTGGCAAATATTTTTATTTAAACCAGTTTTTAATTGTATGTGTTGTGCAAACACTTGATTTGAAAGTCAAGCAGAACAAGAGTACACAATCGAAGTAAAGTCTCTCTCCTTGAATCTATTCCTCCAATTGAAGGTCCTAAGACCTAGAGGTAAACACGTCTTATGGTCTTATGTGTCTCCTTCAGGAATTTGTCTAAATAAAGGCAAGCCCAAATACCAACTGATGCACACAGTTTACAAAACCAGGTGAGCCTAGGGTCATAGTCTGTGTTCGAATAATAAAATACCTGAGGCTGGGTATGCTCTAAAGGAAAGAGTCTGTTCAGCTCAGTTTTATTTTTTTTTWAATTTTTTAATATTTACTTTTTAGTTCTCGGCAGACACAACATCTTTGTTGGTATGTGGTGCTAAGGATCGAACCCGGGGCCGCACGCATGCCAGGCGAGCGCGCTACCGCTTGAGCCACATCCCCAGCCCTCAGCTCAGTTTTAGAAGGTGGAAAGTTCAGGGGCTGAAGATGTACCAAAAACAAATAAATAAATAAAGCCAGGCCCTGTAGTGCTGGCCTATATCCCAGCAGCTTGGGAGGTTGAGGCAGGATCGCAAGTTCAAAGCCTCAGCAATTTAGCAAGTCCCTAAGCAACTCAGTGAGACCCTGTCTCTAAATAAAATATAAGAAGGAGCTGAGGATGTGGCTCAGTGGTTAAGCACCCCTGGATTCAATCCCCAGTACCAAAAAAGAAAAAAAGAAAGTACCCCTTTAAGGAGGAAATCAGGGAATATGGAGCTGAACTCAGGGTCTTTGGTTTGAAGGTCCTATAATAACAGGTATCAGTCTGTCGAGAAGGTCAAGCTCTGGCGACCTAATCACCCCTTAAAGGTCACCCTTAATACTGTCGCAATGGCAATGCAATTTCAGCATAATTTTGGGAGGGGACTCATTCATTTCAAATGAATGTATTCACCCCAATTTCTTCTGCCTCACACACCTGCTCACTTGCCCTTCTGCCATGAGTCACCAGGACACAGAAGCCCTGGGGAGATGCTGGCTCCACACTCTTGATCCTCAAGCCTCCAGAACAGGAGCCAAATAAATAAACTTCCATTCTTTATCACCCAGCCTCCGAATCACAATCCCCCAGCCTTTTTTTTTTTTCTCTTTTGGACCCAAATGCGCTTTACCAAAGAGCTGCATCCCCAGCCCTTGTTTAGTTTTTATTTTGAGGGACTTTTGCTTAGGGCCTCTCTAAGTTGCTGAGACGGGCCTTGAACTTGCGATCCTCCTGCGTCAGCCTCCCAAGTTGCCGGCATTGCCAGCTTGCCCCACTGCACCAGGCTCAGGCTGCGGCCCGAGGTGCTTAGATCTGCTTCGTCGGTACCGGACTCTCCGGGCCCTGATCTCCGAACCCCCCACCCTCTCGGCGTACCCCCGCCTCCTCCGGGTGGGCGGATCTCCCTCCTCCGCTCCCCGCCCCTCCCTCCCCGCTGATCTCGGCACCGCCCACTCCCGCAGGGCGCCGCGCATGCCCGGGAGAGGCTCTGGCCCGGCCCAGCTCTTCCTCTACCTGACGTGGCTGCTGCAGCGCTTCTCCCCCACCTCGCCTCGGCCCCCTGCGGCCCTGCACCTGCAGCCCCGGGACAGTGGCTTCGGGAAGCAGCCACCCCCTTTCCAGCTCATCCTGCAGCCACGACAGCACTACAGACCCAAGGACACCTCCCGCCCTGACAACCCCCCTCCCCTGGCCTGAGCCTGAGCCTCCCCCAGCGCCTGGCCTCGGCTCCCCCTGTACACAACGCAGAGGGTTTTGTTGGGTCCACCTTTAGGCTCCGGAGCCTGACTCCACGGTCTGGGTCGTCCCTCCCCTGGCCACTGCTGATTCCTGGAAGAGCAGCTGACACACAGTAGGTGCTCAGTAAACATCTCCTGAATAAATGAAAGTTTTTCAATGAATCCTGGCCCTGACACTTATTCTGGCCATGTGACCCTGGTCAAGTGGCTTCCCTGTCACTGCTTCAGTTTTCCTCTGTAAAATGGGGTTATAAAAAGACCTGCTTCAAAGGTGCGTGGGACAGCACAGCAAAACAGACAAAACTCTTGTCCTTGCAGACCTGCCACAGGGGATGGGAAGGGAATAAAGGGTAACCAAAGGATATAAGAAATTACCAAATTGTAGGAAATGACAGAAAGTTATTAAATCTATGGGGGGGGAATCGCAGCAGGTGAGGGGAGCAGGAGTATGGGAGGGGGCGTCTGTCATTTCACATTGGATCTTCTCTAAGAACTTGCAGAGGACAGAGCAATGGAACAGAAATGTCAAGGTGAGAGTGCTCAGCACAGATGTCTAAATGAGAACAACTCCAGGCAGCGGGAACAGCCCCTGCAAAGGCCCTGTGTCAAGAATGTGCCTGGAGTTTGAAGAGGCAAGAGGATGAGTGAGCAGGGCTCTGCAGATGGGAACAGAGACGGGGTGCAGATGGAACCTGTAGAAAGAGTTTGGCCAGAGAAAGGACTTGCTCTGATTTTTGGTCTTTGGGCTTTGGTATTTTTGTTTTGTTGTGCTGGGGATGAATCCGGGACCTCTAGAGTATTCTAGGCAAGGACTCGACCACTGAGCTACACTCCCAGCCCCTGGTTTATGTTTTAAAGGAATCCCTCTAGCTGCACACTGGTCTGTGCCCAGGTAGCCCCTGAAGTAGGTGCTGGAACAAGGGTCTCCAAAGTCATTTCCTCCATCCCCCTGCCTCCACCCACAGCCTGCAGGAGGAGAGTGCCAGACCCAGGTAGCCACACTCTTGCTTGTGAGCCATGGAACCTAGGGGAGAGAGGGATCACATGCTCCCGCCTTCTCCCCACCAACACACACACACACACACACACACACACACACACACACTCCCCACCCCTGTCTTTTACATAACTCTGCTTCAGGTTAGGTACACAAAGGTACACAGGGAACCGGGTTTCATGACAACAGCTGAAGCATCTGCTCCCTGCTGCCCCCTGTTGGCTGATGTGTTTATTGCAAGGTGGTTTGTTCGCCTGAATCTGCCAGATTCCATCAAGTTGACACATCCTGACCTGGCTTCATTATTAACAGCACCTCTTCCACTCTCTGAACAATCCCAGTGCAGACAATATGTTATATGGTGGCTTTTTTTTAAATGCACTTTAATTTTACAGCCTGGTTGGGGTTTTTTGTTTGGTTGGCTTTTTTGTTACTGGGGACTGAATTCAGGGGTGCTTTACCATTGAGCCACATCCCCAGCTCTTTTTTTTATTTTGAGACAAGGTGTTGCTAAAGTTACTTAGGGCCTCACTAAATTGCTAGGACTGGTCTTGAACTTGCAATCCTCCTGCCTCAGCCTCCACGTCAATAGGATGACAGACCTGAACCCCTGTGCCCAGCCTACATGACACTGTTTTGTCTCCTCAATAACCCAGCAGCAATTCCTGTCCATTGATCATTTACTCGTGCTAGTGCGGCCCTCAGGTATGCCAGGCATTATTGCATTTTACATGTGGCAAAGCAGACACTCCAAGAGGTGGAGGGAGGGATGAACAGGAGCAGATCTGAGGGAGGGTCCTTCTGAATGTCGGGTCCAGGATCTCACCAGCCATGGCTACGTGAACACCCAGGGAGTTCTGAAATGGTGGAACTGCAGCAATTTAGGGTCTTGGGGCCTAGGCTGGCATGGCTGCCGTGCTAGTAAAATTCTGAAGCACCTCCTGGATGGGCTGGTAAATACTCACCACCTGAGGGTCCCAAGCCCACCCCAGCACCCTCAGAGCTCCCCAGAATCCAGCACTCAGAGGGTTAATGCTTGCCTCTGCAGCACATCCCGTGTCTAACCTGATTGTACAGGTAACATAATCTCTGCCTAGAACTATAATGGGACAATTCTAGCTGGAGGTGGGGATTGAAGCTCAAGGAAGAACTGTCAAGTTCACACAAAAAGGTAAAGAGAAAGGAGCCAAAGCCTGGGGCCTCTTCACTGTTGACACTCCTGGGCACAGGCCATCTGAACCCTGGGGACAAATAACACCCCGGACAATAAGCCTTAATCTCTGGAGGAATTTCTCTTGGAAGGAGGCCCTGAGGTCAGAGCAGGTACTCCATCCTCTCTTCAGAGGAACTGGGGCCTGTGGGTCCCCACCATGTTATCCCCCCAAAATACTTCTGTTATCCATTTTTATTTTATTTTTTTTTAGTACTAGCGATTGAACCAATGGACACTACCACTGAGCTACATCCTCAGCCCTTTTTATTTTTTAGTTGGAGATGGGGGTCTCACTGAGTTGCCCAGGCTGGCCTCAAACTTGAAATCCTCCTGCCTCAGCCTCCCATGTAGCTGGGATTGCCAGCATGTGCCACCATGCCTGGCTTGATGTCCGTTTCTTGCCTTCTGGGGGTTTAATAAATAAATAGGAACACCGAGTCGGTTGGTCGAATACTGTGAACAAGAACAAAGCTAAGTGGGAGGACAAAGAGCCCTGGCCAGACTTCAGCCAGGCAGTCAGGCAAGAGGGGGAGCCCCCTGGAGGCACTGAGGTCACAAGTCAGGAAAATACCCGGGGACTGGACATGAAACTGGCACAGCAGCGGCTTGTCCAAAGCTTGAACTTTCATCCCAAAGGCAGAGGGTAGGGGCATGATCAGAACTGCATTTTGACAAGAGGCCTGTGGCTGCTGTGAGGAGAGGGACAAAGGGAGCTCTTGAGAAGCCAAGGCAGGAAGCAGGCAAGGAGCCTGCCCCACGGTGGCTGCAGAAGTCAGCCAGGCTGGCGGAACAAAGTGCCACAGACTGGGCAACAACAGAAAGTACTGGAGGATAGACACCAGGATCAAAATGTCAGAGGCGATGCTTCCTTCCAAGTGCTGTTGGGGGAGTCCTCCGCCTTGCGGTGATTTGCTGCCAACCTTTGGTGCTCCGTGGCCTAGAGACATAGACCTGCTCTCTGATTTCATCCTCGCATGGCTGTCTCCCTATGCATTTCACTCTGTCCAAAAGTCCCTTTGGTAAGAAGACAACTGAGGGCTGGGGATGTGGTTCAAGTGGTAGCACGCTCGCCTGGCATGCGTGCGGCCCGGGTTCGATCCTCAGCACCACATACAAACAAAAATGTTGTGTCCGACGAAAACTGAAAAATAAATATTAAAAAAAAATTATCTCTCTCTCTCTTTAAAAGAAGAAGAAGAAGAAGACGACGACAACTGTGTTGCAATGAAGCCACTTGAGGACCTACCGGCACCTTAACTTGACCCTTTGTAAAGACTCAATCTCCAAATAATCTCCCATTTTCACAGGCAGAAGAGGTTAGGATTCCAATATCATTTTGCATGGGGACAAATTCAAAGAATAACAGTGGCAGAGATGCAGAGATCTGTTCAAGAGATGCTCAGGGGGTAAACTGGCGGGATCTGGGACGGGATTGGCAGAAGAAACTTGAAGGTCCCCTGTTAAAGGCTTGTTCCTCAGGGGGAAGATATTGGGAGATGATGGAAATTTTAGGAGTCCTTAGGTCACTGGGGTGTGCTCCGTCCTTGATCTTTGTTCTCCCGCTCCTGGCCATGAGATAAACAGCTTGTCCTGTCGTGTGCGAGCACACCCACTAGAGGCTGAAAAGCAATGGACTGCAAACTCTAAAACCAAAGGCCACATCCCTGATACAAAAGCAAGGAAACCACGGGCCAAAATAAGCCTAAGAGTTTTGTTACACTGACAGAAAGATGACAATGCACTTCTACTAAATGCTTTCCCTACAGTATCCTACTGAGTCCTGAGAGTTGTCTATGGTGAACTGTGTGTTACCCAGAGAACACACTCACTTCAAAATACTTGTTAAAAATATTCATTTTATAAAGGAGGACACTAAGGGGTAGGCTGGCGAAGTCACTTGTCCAAGGTCATGCAGATGGTAGATGCTGGGACTGAGAATTCTGACTCCAGTCTGATTGACAAGAGCCTCAAATCTCAATCGCTTCTCMAGAAAACCGGCTTCTAGAAGTTCCTGCGGCTTCTAGGAAGACTCCCCCCTACTCCGAACCAAAGTTCCCATTTTTGCAAACAACTTCCCTTTGTCGTCTTGGCTGAGTTTCCCCATCTACTTGGGCAGGTGAGAGAGTCCCTGTAGGAAAGACAGGGAAGACGGAGGCAGATCCATGTCCAGGAGGAGGGGGTCCAGGGAGAGGGGCGCGCACAGGATCTAGGTGGCACCATACATCCGCGTCTCTGAATCATCCCGACAACTCGAAGTCGATACGATTACTATCTCCATTTTTAAAATGAATAAAATGAGGCTAAGATAAAGGCTGCATCCCAGCCTGAGAGAGAAAAAGGTCTCCGCTGGGCCGTGCGAGCCGGGATTCAAGCTCAGAGCGAACAATCTGAGTCTGAGCTCCCGGTGGTGAGCGCCCCCTGGTGGCGACTGGCCCGAGTTACAACAAGATAGCGTAACTGAGGATCAGGCGTGGTTCCCCGCGCTTTGCTTGGATTTCATTTAAATTTATTTCTTTAATCCCTTCTAATCCCTCTGAGGAGATTTATCACTTTCACCTCCTCCCCACTTTTATTTTGCTTTTCTTTCTTTAAAAAAAATCGTTTCATTGTGGGAGATGTCAATCATTCAGCTCTAATGACAATCCACTCAAGGCCAATCTATACTCCCAATAGTCCCCCCCACGCCCCTCCAAAAAATTTTTTTCTATAATTATTTAAATCAAAGACCAGACACTGTATCCATTCACCT